CCTTCGCCGGCAGCTCAATGTCGCGCGTCCTGAGTTTGCGCTCTGCAGCGCGCACTCTTGAAATGTAGGCGAACAGAGTCTCGCCCTTGTACCGCTTGAGCTTGAAGAAATATTATTCCAAGTTATCCGCGAGCTCCGTCCTGTCGCCCATCTTGAAAGGCTTCCGTAATCTAGCCATGAGTTTCTTCGCCACGTTGGGCTTGATGAGTTCGTCTGCATGCAGTCGCGCGGCCATCTTCAGAAAAACAAGGATCACACGTGGCTTCCCGTATTGAAGTTTAAGATGGATGCCGGTGCAAGCTACAATGATGCTTCGCTGAGGGGTGATGGGTGTTTCGATGACTCGTCATGTCTGTTGCATTGCTTTATACTTAAATTCGTGCGGGGTCCGAAACTTGGAGGCATTTTGGGGCTCTCTTGGGATTATCGTGGGCCCCTCTTGGGGCCTCCTGGGTATTTTTCTTGGGGCTCTCTTGAGGTCCTCTTAGGGTACTAATGAAGCTTATTTGGGCTCTTTGGGGGCGTTTTGGGGCCCTCTTGGGGCTATTTTGGGGGGCCAGGGGGCCTTCTTGGGGCTCTTCTGGGATGCCTGAGGGGCCTCTTGGGACCGTCTTGGACCCTTTCGCTAAAAAAGAGGGGGGTCCTTTAATTCGGACCCCCCGTCGGAGGCTCAAAAGTGCCGTCCTGAGGCCCTCTTGGCCCGCTCTTGGAGCGCTCTTGGGGCCGTCTTGGGGCCCTTCCGTGCCCCTCGTGAGGCTATCTTGGACCGTCTTGGGCAGCGTATCCCCGGTTCCGTTCGGTTCGTTTCGGTTCGGGGGAAATTGGCTCGGCTCAGTGCGGTTCCGGTTTCGGAGCTGTTTGAGGCGGTTCCCATTCAGAGGGCGGTTCCGTTTCAGCCGGTTCCATTTCGGTTCTCGATTCTTGCAGATAACGCGTGCGCGTGTGCTTCTACATGATCACATGGAGGCGTTTGGAGGTTCAGTTCAACCAGGAGTCAGGGGGAACCCTGGGGCCAGGGGAGCCACTGGGCCCAGCTACCCGACGAGCCAGGGGATCCACTGGGCCCAGACGTTACGCATGGTGCCCCCGACGAACCAGTCGACAGCATCTTGCCGCCGGGACCAGGGGGCTCTGGCGACAGCGGGCGATTCCTCAGCGCCAGGATAGAAAACGCTTGGACTACGGTCTGTGACAGTACGGACCACTCACTCCTGGCATTGGTCATCCGAAAGGACAACTGGGATGGCAAAGGCGCCGCCCGCCGCGCCCTCGCCGGGCGCGCGCAGGACGGTGGGGGCCCAGCCCCGGCCACCGTCCCCAGTTCGGCCCTGGAGGCCCCGAGGACCCCCGGAAGCCCAAAGCGCATTTTCGAACCGTCCAAAAATGCGATTTGAGTTTCTCCGCCGCCCTGCCATCCCCAGAGCAGCCCTGGAGGCTCCGAAAACCACCTGGAGGCCCAAAATACATGTTCGAACCGTCCAAAAATGCGAGTTGAGCTTTTCCGCCGCCCTTCCGTCCCCAGTTCGGCCCTGGACAATCAGCAAAACAGGACGAGGGAACTCGGGGGCGCAGGGGAGGAGATGGGAGCGGGTGGGATGGACCTAGCGCAAGAGTGGGCGCTCGCATCGGGCAGTTCCCAAGGGTCCACCTCCACGACCGGTTCCCGGTTCGGTTCCCGGCTCGGGCCCGGTTCGGTTCCACCGCCTCCGATTCGGTTTGGTTTCGGTTCACGTCGGTGTTCTGACGGGTTCCGGTTCCGTCGGTTCTCCCTCGGTCGGTTCGGTTATGCGGTTCGTGGTTCGGTTCTGTGGTTTTGGGGCCATCTTGGGGCCTCTAAACCTAATCGGAGGCGAAAAAGCGAGAAGGCAAACAACATGGTTTTCCGTCGGTTTTTGAAGAAATTTGGGTTTGTGGGGGGTCCTCGGAGGCTTCGGACAGCACTTGAAGCCGTCTTGGGGCCGTCTTGAGGCCTCTTGGACGTGTGTCGGAGGCTATCTTGACCCATCTACCGCTATCTTGGGCCACATTGGAGGCCATCTTGCGCTCTCTGAGGCCCTCTTGGAGCCATTTGGGCCATCTTGGACGCTGCTATGGGTCGCCCCCCCCCCCCCCCGTCCAAACGCATGGAGGGGGGGGGAGGTAAACTTCCCAAGCAGGGAAAGGAAGTAGGTTGGAAAAGGGAACGCCCTAGACCACCTGCGCCCACAGGGCTGGTGGGATTCTGTAGTCGATCCCCTACTCGAGCCTTGCGGCCACGCGTGACTGAGCGCGGATGGCTACATGAGGAAGTGCGAACGGGGGGCGGAGGATTGGAAGGCGTCGGGTTGCGCACAGGCGGCCTCCCCAGGTAACCATCGGTCGTTGAAAGTGGGCACTTTGGGAATCCCGTGTTCCAATCTTCCAACCGATGGGTAGTCCCTAAAGGCAGTCCCAGTTGGCCCCAGCATGCCGCAGGGTTGGCCCAATGATGCTCCGCCCTGCGGCGCCCAGGGCGCCCATGGCGCTGGCGGCGCCGCTGCCCCGTGGCGCCCGGGCGGCGCGGCGGCCTGCCGGCGCACGCCGCGGCGCCGCGCCTGCGCGGCAGCCGCGGCGGCGCACTCTCGCGGCAGCCGCGGCGGCGGTCGACCACGCGCAGAGGGGGCAGAGGGGAAGGGGGAAGGCTTCTTAGAACCACCCCTGCTGCTTAGAAGGCGCGGGTCTTCTCTATACATGTAAGGCCGGCGTCTTCTAAGAAGCAGCTTCTTTCTAATGAGGCTTCCCCCTTGCCGTACCCCCCTGTGCGCGCCGCCAAGGCGGGGTGCGCGTTTCCGAGGCGGCGCGCCGCGGCGGCGGCGCAGCCGAGGATCGGGGGCTCCTCTTCCGAGGAGGAGGGGGAAGAGGAGGAGGAGGAGGAGGAGGAGGAGAAGGAGGGGGAGGAGGAGGAGGAGGAGGAGGAGGAGGAGGAGGAGGAGGAGGAGGAGGAGGAGGTGTTCCTCTTTTATTTTCGGCATCGGCCTGGCCAGGATCGGAGCCCTGGGGATCTGGGAGGAGGAGGAGCAGCAGCAGGAGGAGGAGCAGCAGGAGGAGGAGGGGAGGAGGAGGAGAAGGAGGAGGAGAAGGAGGAAGAGGAGGAGGAGGAGGAGGAGGAGGAGAAGGAGGAGGAGGAGGAGGAGGAGGAGGAAGAGGAGGAGGGGGAGGAGGGGATAACCACGGTCGGGAGCTTCGGTTTCGCGTGTCGCGCCGCCAGTTCTGGCCCGTCGCGCTGAGGCGGCGCGCTATCCACTTCCCGGTCCCCAGGAGTTACCGCCCCGAGCCTTTCCCAGCGTGTCGCCCCGCGGAGCGGAGCGACACGCTGTCCGTTTGCAGTCGCTGGGCCCGCCGCTGCGACACGCTGAGCAACAGTTCCCGACCTCATCTTCAGAGGACTCTGCAATCCTGGCGTCGCGTTTTTTGCACGACGGACGTTTTCGCCAGGCTTCGGCCCCGCGACCATCACAGGTCGATCCAGCTCGAGGCATGCCGCAGAAAAATGGAGTCTAGAGTTCCTGTCGTTTTGTTGGTTGCGATGCTGCAGTTTTTGCGCAACGTCGGATCTCAGGGGACGGCGACGTGAGACAACGGTCGTTGGTCTTCGGGGGGCCCCCTGGTCGCCACGGCGGGATGCAGCTCGGAGAATTGGTGCGTTTGGACCCCAGGAAGGGTCCAGGGACCGATTTGGGAGCTACCGTTGTCTCAGCCCGCCCCGCTCTGACGATTCTGGTTCGGATCCGTTCGTGGCGTGCGAGGCGGGCGCGGGTCTGGAGCAGGATTGGCAGCGCGCTCCAGGGGAAGGGTGACAAACAGGCACTGTTCCCGGGTTGCGTTCTGATCCCGCTTTCGAGGCGGAGCCGGCTGTGGCGACGAGGGCCTCCTGTAGGAGGCCCAACGGGGCGAAATGGAGGCAAGGGCAGCGGCATGGGCACCCTTTTCCGAACCACGCTCGGGGCAACGACACGCAGCGGCCCTGCCGCCTCCCCCGGCGCCGAAGGCTACACGGCCGGGTCTTGGGCCCCCATGTTTTTTCACGCTGGGAGGCTACATCTTTGAAGGGCCCAGAGAGACGCAAAACAGTCTACGAATTTCCAGATCCCCCCACACTTGTACATCCTTCATGGATTTCCGTCTTCCCTTCCATGTCCTGTTGTCCGATATGCCCCAAGCAGTGCTTGCAATTGGGGTCTTTTGGGCCTGGTTCTACGGAACTGGGCCTGGTTGGCGGAGGAGGAGGAAGAGGAGGAACTGGGCCTCCTCCTTCTCCTCCTCCTCCTCCTCCTCCTCTTCCTCCTCCTCCTCCTCCTCCTCCTCCTCCTCCTCCTCCTGGGGTCTTCCTCCTCCTCCTCCTCCTCCTCCTCCTCCTCCTCCCCCTCCTCCGGAACTGACCGACGTCTGTTCTACGGAACTGGGCCTGGTTGGCGGTCTGGCGGTTCCGTGGTCGCCGTCGCCGCCCCGTCGCCGCCTCGTCGCCGCCCGTCGTCTGGGCCCGGCTGGCGGCCGGGCCGAATTCACAACGCCGGGAGGCTAGATTTGAAGGGCCCGGAGAGACACAAAGCAGTTCTCCTCCTGCTGCTGCTGTTGCTGCTGCTGCTGCTGCTGCTGCTCCTCCTCCTCCTCCTCCTCCTCCTCCTCCTCCGTAGCCATTTAGGCTCAAGATGACAGGTTCCCCTGGGGCCAAAACGGATACCGCTAGTCCGCGGCTGGCAAGGCAGCTCTGCCTGGCATTTCTCTGCGCCTTCACTGCGGGGTTTGGGCCCCCGCACCTTAGCAGCTTTCTCTCCCGCACCATAGTCGCTCCGCTCATGTCCGCTGGTGGGAATGCATCCTCGTCGACGCCCTCTACCCCGCGGGGTAACGCTGCTCCTGGCACACCGAGCAAAAAGGTCATCAAGCCGCCCAAGGGACCTCCCCGTCGCTCTGCTGCTCGCGGTGCTGTTGCTGGCACTGGTTCGGCTGGGGGCTCCCCAGGCCAACCTGAGCGCCACAGCATGGACGCAGAGGACAGTGACGCCGACTTCGACGACGCACATGTGCGCGCCCTGTGTTTCGACGTGGTCAACACCCGCTTCCACGACGTGCAGCTGGAGGCCGACAAGATTGTAGGCTCGTCGGTCAAATCGGCACTGCAGGAGGAAACGGCATCCATCACGGCTGCGTTCCAGGCGAAATTCGACAGGTGCATGGCGGCGTGCAAGAAAGACATGGACGAGTTCCCGAAGAGAATGGACCAACAGATCATGGCCGTGGTCATTCCTAAACGCTGCGCACGGAGGTTTTGCAGCGCTGCGACGAGATCCGCGGAGAGATCATGCAGGTGGACGCGAAGGTCACAGAGCACGATCGTTTGCTGGGTGAGATGCAAAACCAGATCAAGGAGCTCCAGGCGGCATTGGTTGTCGCCAATTCCCAGCGCCCTGCTCCGAATGCGCTGGCTGGCAACGCTTCATTCGAGAGAGAGAGGTCGATGCGACGATCGTCAAGATCAATGCTGGACGTCTTGTCCAACGGCAGGAAGTATGTAATGTCATCACGCCGTGGCTGGAGGAGATGCAGATCACTGGGGGCATGTGGTCGTTATCTTCGCCTGACCCGCTGGCCAAGTTGCTCGTGTTGCAGATCTCAGGGGCGACAGGCCTGGCATCCAGGCGTGCGCAGTAGATCCTCAGCGGCTTGCGCGTCTCGGGCACGCAGTGGCGTGAATTCGAGGTTCAAACGCAGGCGGGTGGCACGACGCGTCTGCACATCTCGGGCGACAAGAATCCGAAGCAGATCGAGGCGGAGATCACGGGTAGGAAGCTGCGTGCCAAGCTGCAGGAGGCCTACGGCAGTGAGCAGAAGATCTTCTTCGACAGAGACCGTGGGTGGCTCTCGCTCGGCTGGGATGCCCCGTGCAAGATCGAGGTTTTCCCTGGGCGCGGGGAGACAAAGATCCTTCGGAACCCAGGCCCCATCGCGAAGTACGGCAAGTCGAAGGACTTGCTGGTTGAGGCTGTGGGCGGGGTGCTCCAGCCTGATCAGGAGCCGCAGTGTTGCCTTTAGCCGCTTCGCTGCGCTCTTCGCACGATCGCAGCTGCCATTTTCGTGCGATGTTGCCACAGCTGGCGGCCTGCGTTTCACGTCGTGGAACACGCGTGCTCTCCTGCAATATGAGGGGGCTCGTGCATGCGAGAAATTATATTACCTCCAGAGGCCCCGACTGGGCTCGACAGTCACCGCTCTGCAGGAGGCCCATCAGTGTGAGGCACAGCTCATTCCTTTTCTTAGACGTGTTCTCCCTGGAGCTCTGGTCTACTCAAGCTTCTGTGGGGAGGACCGTGCGGGACGGATCCGTGGTGGGGTTGCCACTATCGTCCCAGGGCTTCTGACTAGAGGCCGCCGCTTTCCCTCCCTGCCTCCTGGCGTCTCCGCCGCCCCTCTCGCTCTCGTCGATGGCCGCGTGCCCCGAGTCGTCTTCAAAAATCAAGACACGCAGCTTATCCATTATAACGTGCATAACCATGGTTTGCCCTCAGAACAAGTAAGGTACGTGTGCAGACAGATAAGTCGAGATCGGACCCTGGCCGAATCGTCTCCTGAATCGGTTTTAGTCGTGGTGCACGGCGATTTCAATTTTGCGCCCGAGGAACAGCTTTCGTTTTCGCAGCCTTCGGAGGCTCAGAGGATCTCTCGGCCGCTTCACGCCAAAGCCCCCCGATGGGCTGACGCGCTGGATGGCCCGGTGGGGATCTCGCCGGCGTCAGCGACTCATTGCGATGCGCAGACAGAGGCCGTGGCCGCAATTGACAGATTCTGGTGCTCCTGGCCTGGTTGGGTCCTCGCTCAGGTGCATGCGTCCGCTCGCGTGGAGGGGTTGCCCGAAAATCTTCATCGAGCCAAAGTCAGCGATCATGCTGCATTAATTATTTCGACATACCAGCAGAAGCCTCAGGAACCAGGAGAGCGCCCGATTCCTTGGCATGTCTGCTGCTCGCCAGACAATAAACAGTGTCTCGCCAAGTTTCTTGATGCGGAGGAGGCCTCTCTCTCGGCTACGCGCCCGCCTCGGCGGCTGATGAGACAGAAATACTCGACGCAGGCAGCTGGGAGGAAAGCGCGGGGCATGTTGATGTATCGCAAGCCGACGGGCCCCCGCACTCTTTTGTTGTTAGCGCGTGCACTGGCTCGGACGGTGCGGCGCCAGGACGCGGCCGCGGCCGAGCGATTTCTGGGCCCCCATGCCGCAGCTGCTGATTTCGTCACAATCAAGGGTGGCCACGTCTCACTTACTCATCCAGCGGCTTTCCAGAGCTGGACAAACAAGGTGCAACTTCCGGCTGCTAACCTCGATCGGCTCGCTGCCCGTGCCCGTCTCGAACGCGCTGCTGCGGGGGGGGGGGGGGGGGGGGGGGGGGGGGGGTGCGTCAGCGAGAACGTCAGCAGATTCAAGCTATCGAGAGGAGGGCGAGGATTTGGGCACCGTTCGCTCGTCGTCTCACGCTTCGCGCTGCGCTTGCTGAGGGCCAGAGGAAGGAGGAGGGGCAAGACCGACATGCTGCTCTTGCATCGCATTGGGGCCCGATCTTTTCCAGGAAACCGTGGCCGTGCAAAACTGCCAGTGCTTATTGCGACCGCTTCGTTCGCTCCGTCGACTTCGCCGACTGCCCGCCTCCGTCGTTCGCTTTGCTGAAGAAAGTGGCACGCTCAGTGAGCGACTCAGCTCCTGGGGTTGATCGCTCGTGTTATGCGGCTTGGCTGGCGCACCCGAGCGGTCTGCTACTGTTGCATGATCCACTGCGGTGGATGATGGCTGGTTACAGCACCCCTGCCGCCGAGAGCGCCACGCTGCAAGCCTTTTTTACCCAAGGGAGAGTCTAGCACTGATACGAGGGAGGGCGACTGTGAAAGAGAAGCTTCGTCGGCGCGTGCCCTTGGGCTTCGAAATACCAGTATCAAACTGCGTGCTGCCATTATGATTATGTCGATCAGAAAACCGCTCGATCGTTTCGTTCCTCAGGACCCACATGGGTTCATGAAGGGTAGGCACTTTTGCCAGAACATCTTAGAAGTTGACGCCCTCGCTCGTGCACGCTCTGCCCGCCCAGAGGCCGATGGCCGTTGTCCAATGCTGTATGCCCTGGACTACGGCCACGCGTTCCCCAGCCTGTCCCAAGAATTCGCGGCTCGGGTGCTGAAGAAGATGGGGCGCCCGCTTGGGTTCCTGAGGTTTGTCCAGTCACTGTATGATTGCATCGAGGGAGTGATGGCGGCCCAGGGGGTTCTGATTCGCGCGTTCTGGATCCGTTCTGGGATTGCCCAAGGATGTGCTCTCTCTGGCTCGCTCTTCGCGATTGCCCTCACCCCTGCTCTACTCGACCTCAACCGCAGTTTCGAGGTCCCGCGGAAGGGCATCAACCGTGCATGCGCTGACGACCTGGGTGGAGCCTTGTCGGACATCCGCCTGCTGCTGCAGCTTCGGCGAGTGATGAAAGTAGTGGAGATGACCGCGCATCTCTGCCTCAAGCCAGCGAAATGTGTCCTGACCCCCGTTCCTGGCCCATTTACGCCCGAGCTGAAAGACCAGGTCTAAAAGTTCCTGAACATGTTGATCCCTGGGTGATCCGAGTTCCGCGTCGAACCTAAAATGTTTTACCTGGGGGTGTGGATTGGCCCTTCGACTGAGCTTACCGGCTCCTGGAATCTTCCCCGCGAAAAAATATAGAGCCCGTGTTGCTGCTATAGGTGCTGGCAATACCCCTGCATCTTCCTCTGCGGCCCTGTACTCAACGCGTGCGGTCGCTGTCCTCAGCTATGTCATGCAGTTTCTGCCGTTGCCGACAGCTATGAAGGACGCTGAGAATGGGGCGCTGGCCCAGGCGTTCCGTCTTCCGCTCGGTGCTTTCCGTGCTCGGGACTGGGCGTATCTGCAAGAATGGAATGCTCCGCGGGTTTGCCCGCTTGAGGTACTGAGTATTTCGACTCTTGCTCGGACGGCCCGGTCGACGTTACCTCAGTATGAACGAATATACCGTTAGCTCTTGAGGATGACACACACACCCATGTCCAGTGAGCTTGACGAGTGCCGCCTGACTGTGGTGCCAGCTGGACAGCGGTACCCACGGCACTGGAAGCGCCGAGCGTTCGTTCAATTCTTGCACGAGGCTGACCACGGAGTCGGAGGCCCTATGCACGCTGCTGCTGCCGCCGCCTGTCGCGAAAATGTTCTGAAGATCCAGAGGGCTGCGAAATTAGCCTGTATCCAATGCTGGCCCCAGAGTAGCGCGAGCAAGTTGTACGAATCTCGTCTTCTGAAGTGGTGGCCCGATAGGTCCGATGAAATCAAGGCCATCGACTGGCCCAGCATCCAGGGTGTCCTCCGTTCGGTCCCTCCGTCATGGGCGTGGCCGCGGCATCGAACTCTGAGCGGAGCCTGGCTGACCTCCCACCGTGCCCTGAGTGCGGGCGATCGTAGGGGTTGCATTTTTGGCTGCGAGGGGGAGCCTGCTCGTCAGATTCACTACGCAACCGTGCTGCGTTATAGATGGCCTGCGTCTGACCCATTGGCCAGGTGGGGGATCCCGATTTGCACCGCATCTGTTCTGCAGGAAGTGTTCATTGCCTGTCACGTTTACTTCTCTCTTCGTCACCTCCCCTCTGCCTCTCTCTTCGACCCTATAGTGAATCTCGATGCGGCTGCGGCTGCCGTCCGCGAGCTGCGCCTCGCGGCGCCCATCGCCGAGGCGCGCCGCGGGTAGGGGACGTCGTCGTCGTCGTCGTGGTAC